TGATATGCAGTGGTGGTAATAAAATTTTTTTTGATTCTACTAATGGCATATGCTGTACATTTTTTTGACCTGGCTCTAGGAGTTGACGAACAGGCCAGTTTTGTCTGGTGTAATGAAGTGCCTTTGCCCGACTGTCCCATTCACACAAAAAACAGCAAAACTTTGTGTAGCCTAGCTGTAGCCCAAGTAAAAGTGCAACAACTTTCAAATCGCCACAAATATGCCATTGGTGCTCATCGTATTTTATGCATGTCAATAGGTACTTCATATTGTCATATGATTCTTTCATGTGAACTGCATGCCCTACAGGAAGAGATGGTAAAATATTTCCAATATGCAATAACACTGCCTTTAAACTCAATGTTGAACTGTCTATAAACAATCTCCATTCTTCTGGGTTATAGTTTATATTTAAAGCCGCCAGTAAGCCATTAATGTTACTGCAGAAAACCAAGTTATTCTCCATATTGAAAAATGGTTCTAAGTCTTTGTGGCGTTTACGAAAAACACATACCGAAACATAGTCTTCTAACAAGTTCCACTGCTGCAGTCTTGATCCAAGAAACTCTGCCTTACATTTTGGAAGTTCTAAATCTCTTACAAGATCATTTAATTCTGACTGTGTTATTTTGTGCGGTTGGTGGCATGACGTGCTCGGTATAAAATCAAGATCTCTTGACGTTGATGGCATATCTTCTTCCTGACGAATCACTCGATCGCCATGATCTGATTCGTTTTCTGATTCGCAAATGTAGGATACTGGTGGTTTTGGAATAGGATTTTCGTCACTGTGAGGCACAGGCCTCATCGCAGATGGTATGTTTGGGTAGTTAATAACCTATTTTTTTGTCTTGGACATACCTGTGGCTTGTCCAACACAAGGTACCATGCAAAAGTAACAATCATTAATATGATTTGTAGGCTTTCTCCAAACCATTGGGACAGCAAAGCGCATAGACCGTTTTTTGCCATTTAACCAGCTCCTCAGACTTGAAGCACATGTATTACAGCAGATGTAAGGGTGCCCACTGTTTGTCTTGATCACCTAGTTTACAACCGAAATAAAGCTGATATGCCTTTGTTATTAGTGGAGTAATGGACCGTCTCTGAGATGCAAAAGTCACATCACCACACACGTAACAAAACTGATCTGGATTGTTTACACACTTTCGAGACATCTTGCATGAACGCTGTCAGCCAACTGAGGAAAAAATGGCTAATATAAAACAATATAATGTACACGTATGTATAACGTAACACAATCATGCCGATTAGATCATCTTTCCTTGCCGAATATAAAAATGTAGCACGTGCATTCTTGTGAATTACAGTATATTAACACTGTCACAGCAGGAACACATATAATTACCGTATCTCTAAAACTTGAACTAATATTGAAAAAATAAGTTTCATTCCGGTTTTAGCACATTAAAAATAGTAATATTTTGTTGATTTTATTTAGGATATTTTTTGGCTGTTGATCAGTGTTATTTTCTGGCAGAAACTCGGAACATAAGAAATCTACACTTTCTGAATCAAACCTTAACAAACGTTTTGACTGACTAGGGCTAATATGCCGTCTTTTTCGATGTGTTTTACCCACACGTAACTGCATGAATTCTGCCATGTGCAACCGTAAGTATATTATTCACTTACCTTACAAATTATCGAGTATTTACTAACAACATAAGTATTTAACTGCCCATTATTCACTCAATTTTAAGTGAATACTCGGAAAAACTGAGGTTTTACTACATAAGCTAAGTACTTATGTACTACAAAGAGAAGTAAATGCTTGATATAAAGTATGTACTTCATATTTTATTCACTCAATCCTAAGTATTTACCTACAAATGCCCTAGTACAAGCATTTACTAAAGTTTATCTTTATCCACTTGGCTTCAGACATTAAGTTATAAGTTTCAATAATAAATTGAAAAATAAATATCTGTATTTTGCGTTCACCGTTCACACGCATTAATAATTTATTGTAGCAAATGTTGTATCAAACAACTGACGAAAACAAAATAGCAGGACTTTTTTTGTCATACTGATAAGAAAGTGTAAATAAGGTTTAATCTGTATCGTGGGTGATATGAATGAAGATCGGTCGATTTTTGTGAAATTAAATAAGAAGGTATATTGCGAGTTTGTTTTTAGTTTTTATTAATAAAAATAGCATTTGCGTACACTAATGAGGAGTTAGTGTACATTATTCTAGCGTACGGAGAAGCAGGGCAAAATTCGCGAGCGGCTTCTCGTGTATATGCACACCGATTTCCAAATAGGCACATACTACATCACGAAACATTTAGTTCAATTGTTTTACGTGCACGTCCTAGTGGAGGTTTGCACCTCAGACGTGGAGTGGATGGCATTCAGGTTCGCCCACAACGCGTTTTGAATGCGAAGAGAAAATTTTGGATTAGGGGAAGAAAATCCGGGAATAAGCACAAGACAGTTAGCCCAACAGGTCCCAGAAGTGTCACATGATTACATGAGGCCCAACTGTACCCTTATCACGTTCGGAGAGTCCAGGCGTTGCTACCTACAGACTACTCCCTAAGAGTAAGATTTTGTGGGTGGTTGTTGCAAGAAAATACTCGAAATGCCCGTTTTACAGCTGACATTTTAGCCACCGATGACGCTATTTGTACTCGTAATCTTCATAATACACACGCTTGGTCCTTTGAATATCCTCACGCAGTGGTTCAGACACACTTCCACCATCGTTTTTCTTTAAACGGGTGGGCAGGTATTGTCGACGAACGTCTGATTGGACAGCTCATATTGCCAGATCAGATGGATGGTCACCAGTATTTGAAATTTCTTCGGAATGATTTGCCGGCCCTTCTTGAAGATCTGCACGATGGGGCACCTCCGCATTTTCGTTTAGAAGTTCTCGATTTTTTTAATCAGGTATACCAGATGCGCCTCTACGATCTAAATCCTCTGGATTTCTTTTTACGGGGATACTTAAAAAACGAGGTATACCGCACTCCAGTTCAGAATATTGAAGAACTGTGTGACCGAATCACAGTGGCTGCCGATAATTTCAGCCTTCAGGCACAGCAGGAAGGAGGTGTATTTGAATTAGTGAGAAGAAATTGGATTAGATGCGCCCAAGTTCGCATTGCAGTCAATAGAAACAATTTTGAACTGCTTTTATGAGTAAGTGAACTGTTAAACTGTATTATTTGATTATATCGATTTCTGTAGGACTTTTATTACATTGTTTTTTTTTTTGAGAAATCAACTTCTTTCGTAACAGTGCTTATGTGGTTAAAATTTATCGGATAAGTTGTGAAACACCCTGTAGAATGAGCAAAAAGAAATTGTCGTAGTCAATTAAGGCAAATTATTACACACAGCAGGATTTACCACGAAGTTTCTAGGGACTAGTTTAGGAAAGTTCTATTATTGACAATTAAAGAGACAAGATTTGTCTGTTTTCTCAACAATCGTTTCCTGCACCATATTATCAATTACCTGAATTTGAAAAATACGAAAATATGCCACCACATAAATGGGATATAAAGAAATATAAAAGAAAATTTTTGATTATCAGGTGGTTGACAGTTAATGCTTGAGGAAATATATGAAAATGTATCAACCTCAGTCAGTCTTTTTACTCAAAAAATGGAATCCCTTAGTTTTCCAGTGTACAACATCAGATGCATTTTATGGAACTATTATAACATGTTAATCTTACGATATCGCTGCTAGAGGGCGTCTTGCAACAGCACTACCGGATGGTCTAATGTATTTTTCACGAGTATCCATTACGTTTTAACGTCTACTGAGGTGAACACCTGATCTCAAAAGCAACATCTTTCTATTAGTCTGTAACGTAGGCAATAATGAATTTCAGGATCGTGTTCAAAGCTGTTGTTCACATATCTGGATTATACTTTCAAGTAACTGGGAAATGTGATAATGAAACGTACTGAATATAGATATAAAAATGTTTATTAGAAAATCATTATGGTACATCTGGGATTTATTGATTACGAGGTAAGTCAATAGAAAAAGCTGCACTGTCGTTTCCAGAAGTTGTAATTTTAGCGGTAAAAATAATATAGGCATGTGTTTCTAATTTATTGTCTGTCTTCAATGTAACGTAATTCAGGAACCTATCATAAAAATTAATGAGGAATACAGCTCACTGAAACAGCAAAATAAAAAAAATAATAAAAGTGAAATATACAAAGTTTTGCAATATGATTTAACAAACGGACTCAGGAGGCTGCATGTTACTGCATATACCAGTGATTAGAAGAAATGACGCTTGGATTAAAGATCTATTGTCCTCATCGTATATTTAGATGGTACAGAGAATTACAAATGGGGAATTTCACTCTTGAGGACGCTGAGAGGAAAAGGAGGCCACGAACGTCAGGAGCATAGGAAAACATTACTGCTGTGAAGAAAATGCTTGACGAAGACCGGCGAGTCACATATCAACAGATAGAGAAGACCTTACACATTCATGCACCAACAAATTCAGTCAATTCGGCATGACCATTTACACGTAAGGAAACTTTGTTCTCTCTGGGTACCGCATAGTCTGACGGGAGAGCAGAAGACTTGTCGTACGACTTGGTGCCGAAAGACGCTGAAAATGTTTAACAAGGGGCAATCTCAATATGTGACCAGCATCGTGATAGGTGACGAGATTTGGCTCTATTATTACGATGTGCCGACCAAGGCTAAAAAGAAATTTTGGGTCTTTAATGATGAGGAGTAGCTGTCAGAATATCCCGATCTGTTGAGAAAAAAATGATGGCAGTATTTTTCAAATCGAACGGGAATGGTGGAAAACAGTTTGAACAAAGCTAGTAAATAAAGCTGTATTGCAAAACATTCAGGGCCGGTTGTTCAACTGTCGGTTAAACTGTAGATCACCTGAACTCCAGTTAAAATATGAACTTAGTTCAAATGCATGTGCGTTGTTCATCTGTCAGTCAAGCTCGGTTCCACTGAACCTCAAATATGCAGCAGTTGGTAATACCATAAGCACTATGTTATTAGGCACGGAATGATAAGACTCGTCAATAATGTCATTTTGACGTGATTTTGACCGAAGTCATAACCCTACTTTCACTTGCTTTTACTTATAGGCCGAAGCGATAGGTTCAATCTGGAATCATTTTTTGGCGATTTTTGAAGTTAGCTTGTTATTCTCGACTATAAATATATCGCAACATCCGCAGGAGAGCGGGTAGGTATATAATTGCTTCATTATCTTTCCTATGTTATATTTATTAAAAATATAATTGCTGCTGATTCTTTCTCTTCGTAGTAGTGGATTTATTTGAAAAATGAGTGCACCTAAGAGAACAAGTAACTTTAGCAGGGAAGAAGAATCCCTTTTAATTAGTCTGGTGAATAAATATAAAGATGTTATTGAATGTCGTAAAACGGATGCAGTAACAAACTCTTCAAAAGCAAAGACATGGAATATGATTGCAAAAGAGTTTAACAGTGGAGCGGTGACCTACAGGGATAGTAAAACATTGAAGAATAAATACGACAATATCAAAAAAAGGTCAAAGAAGAAGTTCTCACAGGAGAAGTGTTCCCTGTTTGCTACAGGAGGAGGTGCCTCAAAAACAGTTCATTTCACCGATATTGATGAACAAGTCAAAGACATTTTAGGTGTCCGAATAGAAGGACACCCTTCAGCGTATGATGATGACATGAGTAAGGAAGCCGGATTGTGTTGAGTGAATATATTTTTAAGTTAATTTTATTTTTAGTTGTCAGTGACATACCTGAGAATGCTACATGCAGGGACTTAATTATTGAGGAATATAAGTTTCGAATGTATGTTAAATAATGTACTTTTATTAATTTAAGGTGTTTCAGATGAAATCACTTCAGAGGAGACACAGGAAGTTCAAAACAGTGGTACTAATAAAATAAATAGTTTTGATGTTATCATTTATTTATGATTTTCCAGATAAAGAAAATCAAGAAGTGTCTCATTTAGAAGGTCCAGAGGCCAGTAGTCATCAGGCGGAGGAGGGGAGCAAGTTAAATACATCCCCTTTGTGCACACTAAAATCAAGTGCTCTGAGAACTCCAGAAGGTAATCTACATTAAAATCTACAGAACTATTATATCGTCATTACTGCATGCTTTTTATAATGGTATTTATCTTGAATTATGAAAATAAAAAAACCTATTTTAGAACTTAAATGGAAAGTTTTTCATATTATGCTGTAGATTTTTTCTGTTCTTGTTGATTGAATTAGTAATAAAATACTACCTGTTGCTAGTAAATACACACAATATATGTGCCTTATTGTGGCGAATCCTCATTTATTCATGATTTTACAGATAAAGAAAATCAAATAGCGCATCGTTTAGAAGGTCCAGAATCCAGTAGACATCAAACGAGGGACTGGAGCAAATTAAGTACATCCCTTTTGCGCACACCAAAATCAAGTGCTCTGAGAACTGCAGAAGGTAATCTACATTATAATCTCCAGAAATATTTCATATTCATTACGAATTTCAAAAAGGAATTGTTACTTCTAGTACTAAAATCGAAAGTTTTTGCATGTTGTGCTGTAAATTTTTTTGTTCTTGTTGATGAAATTAGTAATAAAATACTATATGTTGCTAGTAAATGTGGATCACAATAAGATGTTCCTTAAACATTTGGATTAATCTGAAATGAAAAAACAGCTACTGATGAAAGAAAACAAAAATAAACTGGAAATAATGCAACTAGAGTATGAAGAGAGAAAAAAGAGGGAAGATGAGGTACATAACATTAAAATGGAAATGTTAAATATGGAAAAACAGTATCTGTTAAATAAATATAAAATTTGATTTTCTTAATCTTGCCATCTTATTTACCTATTTTGAATAAATACATAAAATCTCCAATATTCTTTATTGCATCATTTATATCTTTCACTTTCACTTAGTATGAAACGAAGATAACATTAGAAAAATACTAAAAACTGAATTTTTGAATCATTCACAATAAATCCTGGAAATAATTAATTAACAATAATCGTGTCCTATTATTAGATGCATCTTGACCTCCAACTGGGACTGGTACAATATCAAAGTTGTTAATGAATTCAACTGCTGCTTCAATTTCATTATTTATTGCAGGTTGTGGGTCTTTCATGATAATTGCTAGGTTATGTAAGGCTGCTGTTGCAACAACTACTGGCTCAATTTTTTCTTTCGCTACACGAATTCCTAATGCTAAGATGGGGAAACGTCTTTTCCATACCCCGAAGCATCTCTCGACAGGATTCCTTGTGCGAATTTGAGATTCATTAAATAAGTGTTGACTCTGAGTTTCAGGTCGGCTTAGTGGTGTGATTAAATATGGCTTAATACCATAACCACTATCTGCAACCAACAAACTATCGCCAAAATGTCCGGTTTCAAATAAGGCTCGAACTCTACTATTTGCAAATATATTTGCATCATGTGATGCACCTGGCCAACGGCAAACTATATTTTGTATTTATAAAGTGGCATCACAAATCACCTGTACATTATAGGAAAAGAAACCTTTCCTGTTCCTATAATTCTCTGGGTCTGCACCACCTGGAGATTTTATTTTAATGTGGGTGCAGTCTAAAGCTCCTATGCACCTAGGAAATCTAGCAATATTGAAAAATTCTTGACGTATCGCAGTTCTCTCTTCGCCATTTTCAGGCATTTTTATTAATTCTTTAAAATGGACTGCTAATGATTTTATAACTTTCGACACAACCCTGCTTGCAGTTCCTTTGTCCATACCTTGTACATCCCCTATTACTTGCAAAAAGGACCCAGTTGCAAGGTAACGTAGCGTAACAAAGACCATATCATCTGGCGTGAGGGCATGATTTCTATAAAAAAATAGCTTTTATACACATTTGTCCAAATTCCACCCGCATTATATCAACCCAGGGCCATTCATGTAGAGTGAGTAGCCTTTGAGCAGCTCAGATGGTTTTTGCAAATTCACTGACATTGAAAGAACGATTTTTAAATTTAGATGCAACACAGCATTCCCATAAGTTGGTGTTTGTATAAATTTATAAAAAAATTATGTTTAAAAATATATATATATATATATATATATATATAAAATATATAAAATTTGAAATAGGTAATGATATTTATTCTTCAATTTGGAGCACAATATGCACCCGTCAGGAATAGCTCTGATACCTAGTAATTATAAATGAACTTACTGTATTGTTATATTTCTGATATCATCTGCAACTTTATCTATTATGGATCTAACAGTACTTTTTGATAACCGAAAACGTTGCAAGAATTGAGTGTCGTTCCAAATCCGAAAATTATCAGGTCTCTGTTTGTAAGTTTTGGGTAACCTGGGTATATGTACGATGGTTATTAATTCTAAGAAGTCCTCATCATCAGTAATCTCTTCGGGAATGTCCATTTTTAAAATTAACACACAACTCCTTCGCTAAACTTTGCTACGATATTTATGTCACTCACATTGAACTGAGTTTAACCGAGGGACATCGACCGGTCAGGTTCTATGCCTACTTGAACTGGGTCCAAGCCTTGAGCTTTATTTGTACAACTGACTTTCAACTTTGAACTTAGTTCAATCTGAACAGCGGTTTAAACTGGAGTTGAACAACCGGCCCTTATAGTAACATTTGTACTTCCTTGATATGTAATGATGGCACAGCATCAATTTGCTGACATGGCACATCTAAATCAATGTCTTACTACTAAAAACCATAAACTACATTTCTTAGTGCCCTCTCACAAGCGCTATCAGCTTCCACGCGACGTTTGTGTCTCCTTTGGATTTTTGCAAAATCCTCAACACTTGGCCAATGCCGATATTCACGAACACTGCATTTTCCTGGATGAGTACATTTCATGACTTCCTGCAATAGCTGTACATTTTACTTACATTTTTATAATTTCTAACTAGGTTAGAATTGAGTAATGTTCAGACTTAAACCTCTATCAATTCGGTCACATACTGTCACACACTCTGAATTAATTGTATTGCTCTTTAAAATAATATGGTGTTTCAAGTTGTAAAAAATATAGATGATTATCATAGTCAAAAACTGTGTATCTTATTTTATTCCTAACTGACTTGAAATGTAGTCATGATCATTACAATCATTTTGCTTGTAGCGTTTTTATATGCAAAAAAGTTTCTAAATAACAGAGTTGTTAGCAAGTACAAAATGAATCTGTAGCGTACAAAAAACCACAACAAAATACGGATCTGAGTACCTGGCGTTGATAGATCCCGTAGAATTAATTATGTGTCACTTGTCGAGTTTTGAAATATCTTTAGATAATCAGCTGTTATTCTACCGTGATGGATACTCGTGAAAAATACTGTATGCCATTGCACTTTTATAAATTGGTATGGTACTGATAAAGAAAAATATAAGTACCTAGTTACCATTCGTGAAAACCATTCGTGTCTTGTAAAACTTTCAAAACGCAGTTTTTTCTCACGAAACTTCAATTTGAATATCGATATGACCCAGAGTTATGAATTATAAAAATCCTATAAGCGTATTTTGACTTTTACCATAAGATGACGTGAAGCTACGAAACTACGAAAATATGAGCCATCATTAACTCTACGTCCACAAATGTCAATTGGGTGACACAGACCTTTGCAATTGTTTATAAGAGTTTTTTATTACTCCTTATACTAAATCGCCCGATCGAGACAAATACGGTGATCGCAAAGTACTTCGATTATAAAAATTCATGTCATAAAATTATTTTTCAGTACCAGAAAATTTTAATAATGTTTCAAAATTTTATTGCGCGTTACTGACGGTTTAATCCAGATTGCTGTGGCTTTCAACTCAACAAATAATCGTATTGATTTAAATGCGAGTGTAGGACTTCAATTGAGTTAAACTCACACTTGATTAGTGAAAAATCCGATTGCACAATGACAAAACCAATTATACAGGGTGTCAATACAGAGTCTTGGGGAGGGGATAGGGCCCACATAAAAATGTGTAATGATCTCTAGCATTATGTCTCGGTACAAAGATATTTAGCTGTGATAACAGGTCAACAGAGTCAATTTTGCCATTTAGTAGTTTATGCAAAAACAAAACAGATGCCTGACAGCTACGGTTCTCTAAAGTTTGAAAGTTGAATCTGTTCACAAGCATGACATAATCACTACTTCTTTGTGGATATACACCATCAAGCTTGAAAGATAAGTTCTTTAGAAATGTTTTTTGAACCTTTTCGATATATGTTTTATAAACATTGTAAACTGGGCTCCATATTAGTGAACAGAATTCTAATTTCGACCGGACTAGACTAGAATACAATAAAGTTAGTGCCGACAGATCAGTAAAAAGCTTACAGTTTCTTATGATAAAGCCATATGATCGAAACGCATTGATAATAATATGATTAATATGTGAGTTGTCTGTTAACTGACTGTCAAAACAAACGCCTAGATCTCTGATTGAATCAGTTCTCGAAAAGTCTGTACCATTAATTGTATAAGGATATAGTATAGTGGAACGTCAGCTAAAGGTTACTATTCTGCATTTGGAGATATTTAAATGCAGATGATTTCTAAGACACCAGTCATGTAAAACGTCGATCTGCGATTGCAGGGCAGCACAGTCTTCTAGACATGCAATGGACGCATACATTTTTAGATCGTCTGCAAACATTAATTAATTGCATTCCAGAGAAGTGCATAGGTCATTAACATATCGCCTCAAAATATAATTCATAGTTTTAACTTATCACAAAGGATCAGTGAGCCAACAATCAATTTTGCCACAAGAGAGGCTAGCCTCATTGATATAATCTGTGCTAGTGAGGATCTTATCTCTATCGATTCTAAATCAAAAATAAATAAATCACAAAAGACTATTAAATATAGAGACTACAATAATATAGATAGAGAATCCTTCTTAAATGAAGGGTTTCTACTTGGGTGGGAGGATATTTACTATATAAACCAAATCGACCGAAAAATAGAAGTCTTTAATAAAAATATAGTAACTGTTCTGAATAAACATGCTCCAATAAAAACAAAACAAATAAGCGAAAAACCTTATGTACCCTGGATAACTCAAAATATAAGAATTTTAATCAGACTAAGAGATAAAGCTCATAAAAAATTTCAAAAATCAAAATCACAGGCTCATTTTGAATATTATAAACAACTAAGGAACTATACAAAGCATGCAATTATCCGAGAAAAAAATACATTCTTTAACTTACTCTCAACAAAGAAAGGTAAGGAATTTTGGGACACTACCAAAAAGCTCAACATAACATGCAAGAAAACTCACTCAACTATACCCGAACACTTACAAAATGTAAATGACATACACAATTACTTCCAGCTCCATACTTGCTTCCCAAGAATTAATCAATTTTTACAAAAACAATGTAAACATTAACGACTCTCTTGACTTCCAACTGTTAGACAGGGCCAGTCTAATCAAAATTGTAACTAATATCTCATCAAATGCCATTGGAGAGGATGGTTTCTCTATGAGAGACCTAAAGTTATGTATCCCATTTTGTACGAATGCCTTGCTGAATATAATCAACACATGTATTTTGGGGGGATTATTTCCAGAAATATGGAAGAAAGCTATTGTTAAACCCTTACCAAAAATAGCAG